AGTCAAGGTAGGAGGTGGGATGACAAGCGTCTCTGCTAGGTCGGAGACTGGCTAATCCATTGCGGAAAACAATGCGATAGCAAGGTCGAACAAGCTCACAATAGTGGCAAAATTGTGAGTGGACCATCCGGCCCCATGAGGCCAGACCCTCATTATTTCCACCTTTGTGAGGATATGTGTAGACAAATACAAATACCCCCATCTCTACAGCAAACACATCCTACATCCCATCCTGTCCTACAGTCTCTAGATTGTCAGGTGAAGAGTATCCCTGCCATAGGGACGTGATTTGTGGGGGGGAAACAGTGACTGAGAGGGGAGAGACTAGGTGCTTCCTTCATGTAAGTACTACCTGAACAGAGTGAACAGGGCTTCTACTTGGATATAACAGGGTTTATTTTTAAAACTCCAGAGATTTTTTTGATTTATTATGATGCTTTATTTCACCCTTTTCAACCTTCACAGATGTTACCAGTGGAGGAAGGGGGAAATCTTGAGACATTTATACACATTGTGTTCCCGAATAAAAAGTGGCTATCAACATGTAGCATATGTTTGCAGTCTACTATTCCATTTTGTTTCTCGTGTTGGGGGAAAGCTATAATGTGAAATCCAGAATCATGTTCATCTTTCTGTTTAGCCCTACAAAATAAACATCCCATGAGATCAGTTTTATTAATTCATGTACATTAACAAATTAGTCTGTAGCCAAAAATAGTCAAAGCATTTGTTGAAGAACTGTTTTTTCTGGGTGGTTTAATTTTGTATTTTTAAACATGTTTTTGTTCCTAAGGTCTGGGAATTGGAAATATGTTCTATGTGTTTTATGAAGATGGAATAAAAGTGATTCAACCTGTAGAGTGTGAATTCCAGAGGCATATTAAACCTAGTGAAAAGATCCTTGGATTTCAGGCAAGTATATTTAAATATCCAATTACAGTTTGTCCCCAGCGCTTGATTTAGATAAAAGCTCAAACCCATCTTTCAAATGTTCCACATCTTGATGAAATGATTTATAATATTTTTTTCCTACTCTGTTATGTCAGCAAACCTCTTTCCAAGAGGAGACCCTGGCTGAGGTACAAATGATTGTGAGCAGAAGGAGAAATCATTGTGTTGTTATTCTGTTAACTTCTGCTCAAAAACTCTCAAAAGACTTGTTGCGATGCTGTGTCACTATGTACTATCTTCTGTTTTAAATATAAGAACCACAATGAGTAAGGAATATAAAGGCCAAAAAAATCCTGGTACAGTGGTGCCGCACATGATGACGATAATCCATTCCATTAAAATTGCTGTACAGCAAAATTGTCGTCATGCAAAAAAAAAAACCATTGGAATGCATTGAAAATCAGTTAATGCATTCCAATGGGGGAAATACCTGATTGTCCTATGAATATCCTCCATAGGGCGGCCATTTTGCAATCACTGTCTTGTGAAAATTGGTTCAGAAAACAGCAGGGAGCCATTTTGCGAACTGCTGATCAGCTGTTTAAATCATCTTCTTGCAAACAATCGGTTCGTGAAGCACGGACCTAATCATCGTTAAATGAAAATCCCCCATAGGAACATCATTTTGCAGTCGCTATAATGATCGCAAAAAAGTCATCGTCAAGCGATTTCGTCATCATGCGGGGTAAGCGTCTAGCGGGGCACCACTGTATTTAGAACAAGCTTATGCAACATTTTATACAAGAACTAGAGGCAGCAGAAGAGCATCATTTTCCTCATGTAATTCTCCTGGGTTTGTTTAAAAAGAACCCTCTCATAAGCTTAAGAGTCATTATGCACTACTATAAAGGTGCCTTCAGATCCAAATCTGTCTTTACAAAAAGTAATATTGTATTGGTATTTTTATAACGCACTTATAACTTCAGTTTTCTTAAACACTACAGATATTTAAAGAGAAGGCACACACAGCATGTTGGTTTAACATCTGGTAGACATGATTAAATAAAAGTGGGGTGGGGGATGAGAGAGAGAGAATAGGAAAAGCACACAGTAGAGCAGCTTATATGTCCTGGCTGATAGATGGCAAAAGCCAGATAATTCAAAAGCAGGAATCTGATAATTCAGAATCCTACTCTCATAGTCCTCCTGGAATCTGCCATTTTTTAATATTTCTATCCCGCCTATCTGGTCGTACTTTATAATCTATAAAGATTATGCCCTGCATCAGAAAGTTTCCAATGTTGTCACAAGTTCATCATCTGCGATTACCAAGAAGTCACTGTGGTCTTGTCATAGATTCTGAATAGGCAAAAAACAGAATTATTGTTACTTCACATTCATGCTTTTTGCGTCTAATATTAGAATATTTTATTTCTCTGTCCCCATGGCTGTGCCTGTCTGTATGGATATATATTGATAGACATGTGACTTCATACACACATACCTTATGGCATAATCATTTTATTGGTTTTTAAGATTGTTTTAGTTAATGCAGGCATTACTCTGGAATTGGTTTACTGTGGTACATTGGTACATGACATTACAATAACAAAAACTTTGGGTCATTTCAGTTCCTGTATTGGTCTCAGCCTGATAGCTTTTAGTATTTTAGGAACAATATTCCTAACTCCCCAGATGTTCCAACACTAGTTTTTTCAGCTAAAGAAAAAAAAACCCTTTGATTGGTTCAGCTCTGCGGTGATCAGTTCTTAAAGAGAGTTTTTTAAAAAGAGAATTTTAAAAATATACATGTATATGCAGTACTCGACTGCAAGATAAATTTTTACTGTGCATAATTATACTTTCAGTAGCTAATCAAGGTTTGATTTGTGCTTCTTAACTAAAATTAGTTCAGCATCACTAAAGTATGTCAGACTTTTTTCCCCTTCTTATGGATAGCTAATTTAAAACTTTATTATTTTAGAAATATCTGGAAATGTTACCAGCTGAAGTTGGTAAATATCCTTATATCTAAAAGCATGTGTTCTTTATTGCCTTTACGAATTAATGATAATTTCAGTGATTACATTTAAGTGAATCTTTGTTTTTAATTTTCTATTTTTAAACACTTTCCGTAATGACAGAAAGAAAATTTAAGAAGAGACAACATTCACTTCATAAAACAAAGTAGTACTGGGGTAGATAGGAGAAAACACACATTTCTGCTGTTCCTCTGTTTTTCTAGAAAATCCTCTGCATACCTGATTTCCAGCAAGTTTTATTTGTGTTGTCAGTTCTTCAATAGTGACAGATGCTCAAGTCGTATTGAGTCAACTCATTTCAGTGAAAGGCTGAGAATATTTTCAGACGTCTGTGTTTTATGTTGTATCATTGTTTTTGTTGTCTTTTGCACATGTGTTGTTCCCTCACAAAAATGGATGAGTATTACAGAAGATTTATTGTCTCAGGTATTCCTTTACCACAATATTGCCCAGTGCCTGGTTGTGTATGAGTGAGTCTGGAAACAAAAAACTGTCTACAGGAGCTGAAAGCCCATTGCTCTCTCAACCCAGAATAATGAAGCAAGACAAGTATTATGGGTAAACCATGGGCCACACTTTATAATTAAAACATCAACTTGTAGAAAAAAATTAAGGGGGGCAGGCCGTAGGGCAGAAACAGCTTTGCAGCTGGGGTCTCACCGGACCCCATCTCTCAGAAATGAGAGGTCCCATGCCCTGAGGTCTCGCGGTCATGAAGACAGCAGGACCCTGGCTGGTCCAAATCTGACCACCCCTGGACCTCAAGTTCCCCATCCCATTGGCCATTGTTGGCCTGAGAGTAGCCCCAGCACATCCTCCCACATTGTAATCTCACAATCCACAGCGCTGGGAGGTTGGGTGAGCTATAATGTTACCTGTGATTGCAAGGGGACTCATTGAACCATCTTCATTCCTCCCTACCCACCAGTGTGATCGACCTAATTTCCACCCTTTAATGAGCCTTTGCTTGTCTGCCAGTGTGGGATAGGCAAAAAATCCATGCTGCCAACTACCAATTAGGAAGCAGGTCAAAAATTCCTACCCTGCCCCTAAAGGTGACCTACTGAGGGTAGGTGGATGGCTTGGAAGCCTCAAAAGAGGCCGAAAGGAGGTGGAGCATGCTTAATTAGGGTGCTCCTTCCCCCTCCCCTCCCAGGCCATATTTATTTATTTATTTATTTATTTATTTATTTATTTATTTATTTATTTATTTATTTATTTATTTATTTATTTGTGAGATTTCCTTATCTTGCGCTATCCCAGGAGGAAGGACAAAGAAGCCCCACCTGGTGAAGGTCTCTCACTGGCAGAGCAGCTATTAATGGTGGAGAGAATTGAGTAGACAAGAGTTCCTGTGGCTTTGAAGACACATAAGAAAACGAAACACGCCAAGTTGCAAACTCTAGGAGATGGCGCACACACACATCCCTTAAGGATTTTCTGTTTCTTATAATGGGTTAAAAAAGCTTTACAGATAGGATGCCAGCATTTGGTCGAATAGTTGTCAGAATTCCCAGATGGTATAGCCACTAGAGTAATATATTTTAACAAAACCTCCTTTCCAGCTACATAACTAAAAATTATAAAACATAAAATATTATTTCTTTTCTATAAAATCCTCAATGAATAAAGCCTAATTTTATCTATTTATATCTAACAATCTATCAGAGAGAGAGAGAGAGAGAGGACAGATCAGTGTTCGTTTTTGTTCAGTGTACTAAGAAAGTATTTTCCTCTCACTCTCTGTGACGGTGGGCAAATGAACAAGGTAAGAAATCAAGTAGTGACTGAATCTCTGATTTGGGGCACAATTCTGCTATAAATTACACTGGCTGGGAAATGTTACAGAAGAGCGCCCGAGAGAGTCGTGGGGTGGGGGAGCATGTTCACCATTATGTAATCTCAAAACATCCACAAGTGTGTACCTGCTGCTACTGATGTTTCCTTGGTAGGTTCTGAAACAAAGCATTACAGGGATTGGAAGAGGCCTTGGGTCTTCTATGTCCAAGAATTCTTTGTTCTGCCAACAGGCCTTGGATTATGTTGCTCATCTAATGTCAGTTTGGACTCAGCAGGCTGTGAAAGTAACAAGCATTTGGTTGCATCATTCCACCCAGTACCATTTAGTTTTGCTGTGCTCATCATTACCATGGAAACAGTCTTTAGTTTATGGCTATTATAACATGTGCCCTCTACTATGGATGATGGCATCAGCTGTAGCCTAACTAGTGCCAGATGTTTTTTAAGCCCAGTTAGTACATAAAGAAAATAAAATTGTTGGTGTGGCAAAGAGATATTTTGCTTCATCTAGTAATGACATGGGGTGGGGGTGGGCGGTGACACTGGTCATCATTCAACATAGAAATAGTGACAGTGATAAAGAAAAAAAGTGGAGACAGAAACACGTTCCTGTTTTATTCCACTGGTGGAAGGTAACATTTCATTAAAAACTATTTTTTAAGAATTGATTTGTCTGTACCAGGTACAACAGTCTGTGACAAAGTACATTATGGGTGTATACTCTATAACAGAACAGTTATGTTTAAAAGTGATCAGTTCAGGCCACTGGAGCAATCCTAGGTATGCAGTATTTATTTCAACATGAATTGCACTTGAGATCAGGTTAGCATGCTTAAGATTGCAGTTGTAAGTTCTCTAGATGCCAGAAAATTTGGAGTCAGTTTTGTGCTCAGTTTTGTTTTATTGTGATTAATTAATGGAACAGTGAAACAAACTATTAAAATTGTTTTCTTGCACTGTCAATTTGCATAAATAAGCATTCGTGTATGGCTGCTTCCAGGCAAATCTCCACGACTATTTTCTCCCTCTAGGGCAATCAGCTCATGTCTGAGAAGACTGGGCCCATTCATGTGAGTCAACTGATTGTTATAGCCTTCGGCTCCCAAGCTATGAAGGAAAGGGTTCTTCAGAATCAAAACTTTGCAGTTACACTGTTATAAGAAGAACTGACCACAAAAA